ACCTTACAATATTTATTTTATTGTCTTTATTCCTTTAATCTGTGAATGTCTGTATCCTGTCTCTTTAAAAACTTTTTAAAAAATGATTTACTTGTTTTCCAACTCTTTATACTCTTTGACTTTTCTCTCCCAAGCCTGTGTACATTTATCCAACATTGTGACTCATTTAGAGGTCTTTTTTATCTGGATTAGTCTTCACTGTATATCTGTAACTATATCCTGATCAGAAGCACTTCTTAAAATGCTAAGTGCTTAAGAATCTAAACTGTGGCAGTGCTAGGATTTATCTGGACTTGCCTGCTTTCTCTGGACAGTTCTATGTGGTGGAAGTCCATTCACCGCCTCTGCAAGTAGTGCACATTGCCCCAGCTCCAAGTATTCAGCGGATCTATGTCGAGTCATTAAGCAGTTTGTAACATGCTGCTTACAAACCCCATTTTAAAGCTTCCTGATAGAGCCAGAGTTCATGCTGGCAGCATGACCCTGAAAGTCAGCATTTCAAAGCAGTAAGGCTTTTTTCTGCTACTGCGGAATCAGGAAAGGCTCTCTTAAAGGAGTCATGCCTTTGCTTGCTTCCACTAAACAGAGCCCACTCTTTTGTGTCTAGGGTGTGTCTTCTGAAACTTTCTCAGGTTTTAAGTGGATTTTAGTTGGCGACGTGGGCACCAATTTGTTTTAATACGCCACTCGTTTGTTTCCAGCTGCTCAACCCTGGAATAATCACACAGAAGCTATATTATTTAAATCGCTGCTTGAACCATTATCTCTAGTTTCTTTTAGATTAACTCTTACATCTTAACTTAATCCATGATCATTAATTCTGTGTATCACCATGAGGGTTAGACCTATCAGCAAAGTTTCAGCATGTCTGTCCATGGCTTCTCCTTGACTCTGCCCTTTTTTCTCCTATCATTCAGTTTAGTTTTCACTGCCTACCTAAATTCTGCCCTGTCAACAGGCCAAAACAGTTTCCTTATTAACCAGTGGAACTCACAACATACAGAGGGGAATCTGGCACCAGATTAGTATTTAACTGCATGATATTTTTTGAAAGGAGGAGGCTGAACATGGTTAAAGAATATTATTTTTAAATGATAATGAAGTTCAAGGAAAAGAATAGAATTAAATGACATTTTTCTTAATGACTTATTTTTATTAAAATTATACATACACACACACACACGTGTGTGTGTGTGTGTGTGTGTGTGCATATGTACGTGCACCTACATAGACCAGAAGAGAGAACCAGTTGAATTATAAGGTGGTTCTGAGCTACTAAACATGGGTACTGAAAATCGAACTGTGTTCTCTGTAAGAGTATCGCAAACTCTAAACCACAAAACCATCTGTAAAACTCCCCAAAGATATTTTTAATAGACCATGCATTAAAGTGCATTAAAGCAAGTAGTGGCTAGACATATAAGAAACTTGGGAATAAGATGGTGAGAGCCAGTCTGGACTCAGATGTTAAAGAAGTATTCTACAGAAACATAGACTGAATACCTGCTGTAAAGTCCCAGTATGCAAAAAGAATATGGTAGTACCAAGATGCACGGAGGTTTCATTTGCAACCACATTGTGATGGATGATTTAAGTATCAATTTCATTGATGAAAAGATCACTTAATAGGCCTTAATACACTTGTCTGTGAGGGATTATCTTAACTAGGTTAAATTGAAATGGGAAGACCAATGTACTGCATGCAGCACCATTCAATGTGCTAAGGTGCCAGACTTAACGAAAAGGAAGGAAAGTCCTAGATATGGGCATGCATTCATTTCCCTCTGCTTTGTGATAGTGAATGCAATGTGACCAGTTGTGCCAAGCTCCTGCTGCCATGACTTCCCTTATGTATTAGACCTTACTCTTAACCTGTGAGTCAACCAAACTCTTCTTTCAATTACTTATTTCTCATCAGAGTTTACACCACAGCAACTGGAGAAGTAAATCATATATCCACATGATCCCCTTTCCTTGTGTGGACAGGAAACTTCTCATAAAAATTGAATATAGCATAGGTATTAACCAAATGCCTGTCTAGGTATTAAATTCTCAAACAATCATTGAGGATATATTAAGGGATAGAGTGATTTAGAAGTGGTGTGGCTGTCTGGAAATGACTGTCTGGGAGGTTTGCTAATGACTTCAATCACCCTGAAAATTTTGATTACTCACCATCATGGTGGTAAGGATCAACTTAGCAAAACTCAAGAGAATCACACATTTCTACATACTCTAACTCTTCTTCTGAAATTCTTGAAAGTAAAAAGTCACTGCAAAGTATATATAGTTTTCTTTCTTAATCAAGACATTGGTAAGAAAAACTGTAAACAGATAATTAGACAGGAAAGAAAGTTAAGACATCTGGTTTACATACCCAAAAGACAGTTGACTCTGAATTTAAAAATTATATACAATTTGAAAACACAGTGTTAAAACAAACAAAGTGTTTTGATTCCTAAAAAGATGTATACTTTGTTCAAAACAACAAAATCAATCATTAACTTACTGATACCTTAAAACTATTGGGAATTCAATAGTTAATAAATAAATAAGCAATAAGTAATGCAGACAAAATTTTGGAAGTGTTTCAGTTTCTTTATTAAATAATTAGATATGTAATTAAAGTTCAAAAAATAGATTTTTTAAAAGAGAAATGTAGCAGACTGTGACCAAAGTGGAAAAGGTGTAGCATGTATAGTCATCCACATAGAGTTATTTGCTAATATCATAGTGAATAATACATTAACACTTGGTTCCTTGCCTCCAGTCACTTAGAGGCAATGGGCTATTAAATTCACTACTGGAGGACCAGATATGGGTCTGCTATGGGTGATACAACGACAAACAGCTACAGTTTCTCCCTGAAACAGACTCCACTCAGGCACGGGTAATAAACAACTAATTGCAATGTGGTATCTTTACTTTTAGGAAGAATGAATGCAAACTAGCCATGTTCCTTGGTCCATTTCACTCTTGTTCTGTTCATGGAGGATCTGAAATCACCTCATAGTCCCTCAGGACCCTATACAGCTTCAACCCAGTATATAACACTTGCACATAAACTTGCACTGAAGTGTAGGTAACAATGTGGATGTGGGCTTATTGCATGAAAGAGTGTTTTGTATCTAGTGGGATGGAAAGTTTACCAATTTGTTCTTAATTACCAAGGCAAACAATTGTGTAATAATGTATTTTTAGTCTTAATTTCCTGTCATATAGATGGGCGATAGATGGAGTGCTTAGATCATTAGAACTGATTCATCGCCAATTTCTGGAGTTAAGTCCTTGCTTGTACAAAACATTCCTTTATTAATGAAGGCTTTATCCTAAGCAAGTCTGTGCCCAGCTGACTACTGATGCAGCTGCTCTGTTGTCTGCTGTGTTTTACTCCACTTCATCCCCTAAGAGGGCACATGGTGCTTTCCACTCCATTTGCATTGCAGAGCACATGACACCCTGCTTATTTCCTTATAAACGTCTTCAGCTGTGTACGATCCAGAAAAGATGTTCACAGTTCATTAGAATGAGTGAGAGGCAGTGAGACAGGGCCATGGTTTCCTCCTGTCTGCGGTCTAGAAAGGACAGGAAGTGTGTGGTTCTTTGCACAGAGTCCAGACACAGATTAGCTTAGGATGCTAAGGAAGACCTGAGCTCCTACATATGCAAATGTTTTAATCCTTGCCAGTGTTCATTTTATTATTGAAAATATTATTTATTACATCAGGAATCATTTAATTATTGTACTTTTAATTCACTGATCCAACAAACTTGAGATTCTAACTACAATAAGTAACTTGAAAATAAATTGATGTAGAATGTCAATCAGATAAAGGAAAATATATTAGACTATTTATTGCTCTATTTTAGGCACTTGACCACTTTTCTTCATTGATTGAATAAAACCATCATAACACCTGAACTCCAATTTTCTTTCCCTAGTTCTATGACCCTGATGGGTGAACGGTCCATTGATAATCAGCTAGGAGGAAGAAACTGGTATGTGTATTACTTTTAGTAAAACGTCACTTCCTGGCTGAGAGAAATAAATAGTCTAGATGTTTTCAAATGCCTCTGTACCATGCAGATCAGAATCCTAAGGGAGTTATAGTTTCTGTCTCAGGCATCTGACTCTCCACATATTTATCTTCTCACCTGTAAGTTCTTTTGAGTTATCTTTCATTTTTGAGAGACACAAGGTGGTCATAATTTGTGGTATTACAAAGGACATTTTGTATGAAATTAGTATATTTTAATAATTACTTGAAGTGGAATTTGGAGGAGATTTGGCTCGCTCATTTTAAATATTATATGTTAACTTATTTTAGGGTCCTTTTAATGGAACATGTATATGTACTATGTCCTGTATGAAAGCATTTATATCCATTCTATTTATTGATATTTCTAACCTCTTATGTATGTTCAAATTTTCTTTCTTTACATAGTGAAGTAACTGTAGCTCAGAGAAGCTCAATCATTTTATTGACACCATAGAGTCAGAAACATTGAGATTCTCCTACTTTACCAATCTTATTTTAAACGTTATTGATTCTGTTTCACAGTGAAAAAATAAACCGATAACAGAAAGTAAGCCAGTGTGCTTGCGTACATTTCTCATGACTTGAGGAACAGCACCTTGATGTTTGGCAAAAGTGCACCTGTCTAAACAATGTCAACTCAGAACCAGGGTATTATTTTTTAATTTTTTTTGTGTTTTAATTCTTTATTGTTTAAATATACACTGATCAATTCAATCAATTCTCTTAAACAAACCAGTAAATCAAGACACAATTGTGATCATCAGTTTTTTCTTTTTCTTTTCTTTCCTTTTTTTAAATATTTATTTATTTATTTATTTATTTATTGAGACGGTCTCTCTGTGTAGCTCTGGCTGTCCTGGAACTAGCTCTGTAGACCAGGCTGTCCTTGAACTCACCAATCTCTGCCTCCCAAATGCTGAAATCAAAAGTGTGCTCTCCCACCACCCAGTGCTATCATCGAATCTTAATGTTCAGAGAATATCATTTTCAGGAGGTTGGGCTGAAGGCACTCAGATTCCATAAGTTTTTGAGGTGTTCCATACTTAAGCAGTGTAGGCACTGGGGTTAATTTCAGTTTTTGTCTGAAGTCATTATTTGGGTCTTTCCAGTGAGATCTGTCTTCCACTTGTCAGTAGATGAACATGCAGTCTTCCGTAACATGCTTCAGCCCCTCTCAAACGACTGGCTCAGCTTCCACGCAATCCGGACACCAGCTCTTCCCTTCGGCATCCTTAGAACCGATGAAGTAGGCGAAAATGGTCTTGCCCTGGTACTCCTTTACAGCCTAGTAGAATTCCTCGAAGCCAGACACGCTCACCTCCATGTAGGTGGCCATGGGTTCAGTCTCGAGAGTTGCTTGGGAGGTGCGCTGGAGTCCTGCCATCTCCCAGGGTATTATTTTTAACTTGGAAAGTGGTGATATTTAGTTTATATTTCTGAAAATCAGTAATGTTAACAGGACAAGTATTTTGCAGGTTCTTTTTTGATTTTTTCCCCTCTCCCCTCTGTTATCTTGTCTTTAATATAAATTGTGGCTTTAAGTCAATTTGGAGGCTCTCGATGCACAGGCAATTTTCTCCATGAGTGATGGTCACGTAGCAGGTAACAGAAGTAGGATGGTGAGCTTAGAAGAAAAGTCTGCAATGTCAGTACTAATGTCAGAACAGACACAATAAGTGCTATGTTACGCTAGACAGACTGCCATTCCTTTACCTTGCAAATGCTTGTACAATATATCTTTTATAATTAACCAGTATCTCTGAAGAACCAGTTTGAATTTTCAGTCTTCATGGAAAAGATGCAGATGTTAGTTAACTAAACTTTTGTTCAATTTGTGTTTGAAATATAGTTTGCAATCAAATATTTGTGTGCTAAATTTTTGTTTTATATCATGTTTAGATACATGAACCAATGAACGAAGAATTTAGGAAGAATAAGAAATTAAAAATAAAAATGGACCAATTTGCTGATTATCTTAATTCTATGACTGTATATTATTTTTTTAAAAATAGGGTTTTGTGTGGTATCAGTCTGATTATATAGCAAACGATCACTCTAGTCTTCTGATGTTTCATCCTCTACCTCCCCAGAGTGGGATTAATAGTGTGTGCCACCATGCTACACAGTGCTACAGATTAAATTGGGGGTGTGGCCAGTGCTTGGCCAGAACTCTACCAACTGTGCTACATTCCTAGCCTGTGGATATTTTTCAAAAGATTATTTGTATTATTGTAAATTATGTATGTGTATGACCAGTACATGGATATGTACGTGTGAGTATGGTGATCACAGAAGTCAAAAGAGGGCAACAGGTTGCCCTGGCGCTTCCTGATGTGTTGCTGGAGGTAAGAGAAGAATTAGCTTTTAACAATTAAATCATCTCCCCAGCCCAGGGCTGCATTTTTTTTTTAACATTGAATTTAGACACACAGGTGACTCTGGTGCACTTAAGAGCTGTGACTCACAAACATAGCTCAAAGGTGTCATGGATTTTATTTCTCCATTCTTTGTAGAGAAAAACAGCTTTTGGTGACTGAAGAGAAATTCTCAAACCTTTTTACCTGGAGTTCAATTAACTTCAGAAGTTAGTTTCCTTAACCTAAATATTTCAAAATTTCTGTGTCATTTTCCTATTCATGCTGACTAAATTGGTTTCACTATATAAAGGAGTCTGTTTGAATCCAGATAAAAATCTATCACACTCCTTTAGAGCAAAGTCACTTTTCATTCAAATTAAAGAAGTGATGAGATTTCTGGAGAAAATTTCCACTCCATTCTTCAAGGAGTTGAAGGGAATAAAATACGAAGCCCCATATTTTTAATCAGAATTGAAAGTGAAATGACTAATGGATTGGATAACCTTACCACAGATGTTCTCAAACCACAAGGATAGCCATTTTATCATGTAATGAAAAACCCTAACTTGATAATGTATTGTAATACACCAGGTATTATTAACACATTGTAAAACACCAGGTATTACAATAAACACCAGAACTATTACACCAAGCTCTTTTTTGTAAAATAATGTTTGAAATACATATGTGATCAGTGCATAACAAGCAGACATTTGTTTTCATTCTGAATGACTGGAAAAAAAATAAATTGCTTCAAATAAATGCTTCAGAGATTTTGTTTTCTGCTTTTCTTCCTCACTCACAGTACTTTCAGTACCACAGTGATGAGCCAATGAGAGAGGTTGTCTGTCTGATTAAACATCTTCAGCTGTACCCTGATTTACTGAGATGCTGAGATGTGGCTGCCATCACTGAGGAAACACTCAGGGATAAGAGCTCCACCCGAAGCAGTTTATTTTTCTTGTTGACTAGTAATCTAGACCTATGGTTATAAGATTCTGTCAGACTATACCATGATAGTGTTACAATGGGAGAAATTGACCAGCAATTACTGTACTTGTAACTGTGTTCTTAGTACTCTGAAATTTTTAACTTAACTCTATAATTGTGTCAAAGACTGACATGATACAATTGGACATGTGAAACCTTCTTTTATGCAAGTTAGTATTTACATGATAAACCCATTAATAAATGTTTCTCAGATACCATCTGCTCAGCCAACACCCTAAATTACTCTCCTTCTGTGTTTCTGTATTTACTTCCTATTGCAGGGCCTCACTGTATAGCCCAGAGAGCTATCGGTTTGTAGATAGAAAAATGATGCATACATAGATTGGTGGATAGATGATAGGCAGAAATAGATGTGTGCTTATGAGAAGGGGTTGGGACAGAGGAGACAGTTTTAGAACAGGGTCTCACTCTATAGCCTAGGTTAGTTTCAGACTCACTGTGTAGTCTTGGATGGCCACATGCTTAAGACAATCCTCTTGTTTTAGAGCCTAGTTGTTGGGATTAAAACCAAAAACCATCAAGTTGTCATTCTGGACAAAATGTCATTTTAAAGTATGTATATTGCTGCTTTGCAGCTCAAAAAGTGAAATATGTATTTACAAATCTTCACTTTAGGTTGAAGCTAAGCTTGAGTTCTGGCTTTCTTAATTAGGCACATGTTTATAACTAAGAAGGATGATTTCATTGTCCTGCAGTGTGTATATTACTTCCTGTTGTAATTAAATATCATGACCAAAACAACCTAAGGAAGAAAGTTTATTATTGTTTGAATTCTAGATGGATAAGATCTGTTAGAGCAGGTGAGGCATGGGAATGGGTGAGGAAATAGCTGATTATATTTTATTCACATAAAGAAGCAGGAATAGAGACAGAGACAGGAACATAGGGAGACACGGACATGGAGATACACAGTGAGACAGGGATGGGGTGGGGAGAAAAAGAATAAAGTGGAAGAGGAAGAGAGGAGAAGGGGAGGAGATATGAAGAAAGAAGAAAAGAGAGAAGAGAAGGGGGTGAGAGGAGAAAGGAGAGAGTGAACAGAAAGGAATGAGATTTTATAAAGCTTCAAAGTTTACCCCCATGACCTATTTCCTCCAGCAAGACTCCACCTCCTAAATGTCACAAATAGCACAACTTAAATATCCCAAACAACACAATTAGTTGGAGACCAAATGTTCAAACACATGAAACTAGTAGGCTTTAATCACTCAAACTTTTACATGAAGCAAAGACTTTAAAGTGTTAGGATTAAGAAATAAATTTTTCATTCAACTCAGAAGGATCTACAGAAATATTCATAGCAAATTCATCAATTATTCTTAATATTTAGAACACACTTTTTTCTAATTAAATTTGGTGCATAGTTGCAATTAGTGCAAAACAATCCTGGAAAAGTGGATATTGCAGAGGTCTTTCATGTGGAGGAACATATGGGCATGCATGTGAAAAAACTCAGAAGGGATTATTTCTTTTTTTTTCTTTTTTTTAAGTAATTTTATTAAATTATAAAAGTTTCCATTTACGCCCCTCTTCCCAACACCCTCCCACTCCCCCCCCTCCCTCACCACCTCCCTCTCCATCCCTAAGAGCAGTCAGGGTTTCCTGCCCTGTGGGAAGTTCAAGTTCGTCCCCCCTGCCTCCAGGTCCAGGAAGGTGAGTATCCAAACAGACTGGATCCCAAAAATCCAGTATATGCAGAGGAAACTAGTCCCAGTGTCATTGTCAATGGCTTCTCAGAAAGAGTGTTTCTGAGAAGGGATTATTTCTGATGGTTAAAATGTGGTATCAGTGAAGATGAGGGTTCCTGGAGGGAGAGGAGGAGTCAGAATATGGAAATCATAATGTGTTCTGATTTTTGATAAAAATATGTTATGAGAGAAGTCACCCTCAGGATTGAGGCAAATAGGGAATATTGTAAGATGTGGAATGAATAGGTGACCCAAATGATGAAGATGGCAGGGCCTGTATGCCCTAGAATCCAAACCCCCCTTTGTATACATTATCCACCAGGTCCACACTCGCAATGCTCCTGTTTCACATGGGTCTGGTTCTCTTGAGCCAGCAATAGTTTTCTTACTGTTTCAGGTTACAATAAAAGGCTTGTTGCAATTGTTTTTGTGCGTTGTTTATCACCCTTAGAGAGATGTGTTTTTCCCTGAGGAGGTTTTTGTTGCAGATAAAAACATAATATGTTTTCTGTGGTGATACAAGGGCAACCAGTATCCTAAGAACCACATTCTAACTATGATTTTTATGGGCTTTCTCTTGTACTTTAATGTACTCTCATGGGAAACAGACTTTCAAATAATCTCAAAGAGAGAACAGAAGTAATTGGGGTTTACAAAAATCATTCTGAACATATATTTGTTGCACAAATTAAGGGAATCTTCCAGATATGAGAAAGAAATTAAAATAATACAATTCAATATAATGATCAAGTGTGATTATTAACAGGAATGGGTAAGGAAACGACAGCTTACTACCAATATCTGTTCATTTTGATAGGTTATGAAATAATTTTTAATATTTCAGTGACAAAAATTATGCAAAGTTCCAAAGTAGGTCAAATGGATTAAAACTAAAGAATAAAGGAACTTAAGTTTTTATGAATTAAAAGAAAAAGGGTTTTAAAAAAAAGTGTTCCTGTGGAATCTCAACAGCAGAAATAAGAGATAACTAACCTCTGCTCCTATCAATATGTCATACCACAAGAGACACTCACATCTTTGATGTACACAATTTACTCTTCCCCAAAGTTATACTCAGAGAGCAAATGTACATGTTGTATAGAGTATTACTTGAAGAAATCAGGTTGAACAAATTTGTATGAGTGTTTCCAACAATAAAGATGGACTAAGGTCTTGGTTACATTTTCTTGTGGTGCATTTGTAACTATTCACAGAGGAAAAATATTGAGTGAACCTCAAGAAAGATTACAGTCCTCTATTTTTGTTATAGTCCATCAGGA